AAAATGCCCACTGATAGGACCAGGATTTGCAGGACTGAAATTCTAAGGAGTTTTTCCAGGGAGCCAGCACTGCCACCTACCAGCTCCCCAGCCCTTCTTCTGGCCACCAGGTGAGGCCTCCATCCCACCCCGCCAGGCCCTTCTTGCCCACACATTAAAACTTGCAGACTTCAAAATTACAATCACATTTTTAAAAGATCAAAATAAACAGCAGCCTGTACCAAAAAAAGGGCAATTAGAAAGTTCGCATTCCTCCAACTTCTCGTTAGTAAAAGTTTTATAACCCTCCAACATGTGGCACTCCAGCATAAAACCTGGCAGAGGGAAAAATGCCCCTGTCTACCTTTCATAAACATAGCAACATTTCAGCATTGGCAAAGATAGCCTGGTTCCTATTACCAGCTTTTTTCCATTTTAAATTTACTAGTTAATTTTATGGAAACAAATAAAGGGACCTGCATATTATAAATCTATTAAGGATAAAAAACATAGCTCCAAAAAAAAAAAAAAAAAAACACCAAAAAACACACAAGAAAAATCTCACACCTCCCCTCCAGCCTTTTCCAATTTTAATTTATATACCTTTTAAAAGAAAAAAGTGCCTCTCAATTGAGCTGGGAGGTCTTCCCTTAGTCCCCAGTAACTGGCACGCGTGTGGCATCGTTGTTCATTCCTCAGCAACGTGCAGCTGAAGTGACCCATCCTTCCCCTGCAGGTAACTAACTCCACCTGCCACTGAACAATCAGAATAAAAATTACATTTACAATATCTTTTCATCTAGCCCCAGTAGGAGGTTGGTACGGGAAGCTGAAGGACAAAATTCCAGAGGGTTTCAACTGTTCTGCCTCCATCTGGAGTTAATGGGGTTGCACCTGCTTTTCACAAGGTGTGAACGTGACCCCCCAAAGTGCTCAGGGGAGGCACTGGTGCTGCCTGGAACCAAGCAACAGTAGGGAGAGATCTCCATGAGGGATAAGGTTAGGAAACAGAACATAACTTTCTATCATGAGCAAAGTATCAGATAAGAAAAAAGTCATTAGCAGTCAACACAACTGTTACTGTTTACACAGACTGGTTTAGGTTGGAAGGGACCTTAAAGACCATCCAGTTCCAACCCCCCTGCATGGGCAGGGACACCTCCCACCAGCCCAGGCTGCTCCAAGCCCCATCCAACCTGCCCTTCAACACTGCCAGGGATGGGGCAGCCACAGCTTCTCTGGGCAACCTGGGCCAGGGTCTCACCACCTTCATCCAGCAACAGTGAAATTTTATGCCAGCAAAAACCCAAGTGATGTTGCTGACCAGCAACTACAACAGTGACAGGGAAGTGTTCAGAAAACATTCAGTGGAGCAGTTGGGGAAGCCAGTTCAGACAGGCTTCAGCTCGTGGCTGACTTGGTCATTGCTCTCCTCTGGGGACTTCATGGCCTCAGAAGTTCCTAGGAAACATTCCTCACCACAGGACCAACGTGGTCTGCACATGGGACTGAGTAACTCCACTGGTTGGGATGGTAGAGAATGAGAGTAGGGTCACTGGGATATTTATAGGAACATCTTCAACAACAACAGTTTGCACAGGGCACAAGTGTATCATCCACCCCAGCACTGGGGCATGGATCAAATGGGAAAAAGGAGGGGGGGAATAAATTTTAAAAAATAAAAAAGATAGACAAATAAATAAATAAATAAATGAATAAATGAATAAATGAATGAATAACAGAACCGACATGGCCAGCACATGTTTCTCTTTCCAAACACTTCCTGGACTCCATGGGCTTTCACAGCATGACTGTGATGCCTGAGCCTACAACTCATCAGATTTGCCTTTTCTTATGACTTTTCAATACTGATCCAGGATTTACACGTACTTTTTTTACAAGATGAGGTAGGAATATGCATTCATGTGGTAATATATGACCTACAACCACCACTTCCCAAAGCAGTAACCAACCACTAGACCACTGGTTAGAGCTTTGGTGCAAAGGGATGAGAAGAACCTGAGCTCAACTGTATTTCTAAGCCATGTCTAGACTTCCAAATCTCATTCCTTCTTGGAAGAGAAGAACACTCTTCTTGGCTCCTGATACTGTGATGGAGATGTTTGTTCCCTTAAAACAAGGCACCTGTCACATTCATCTCTGAACCACAAAACCAGGTGTTTTTTTTAGGCAATTGGAACACTTGAGCAAGAAAAATGACCTGATACAGAACTGCAGGCACCACAAAACACACAAAAAAACCCCACAAAACACAAAAACATACCAAAAAGAAACCTTTATGCTTTCCTCACTCGTGTGCAGCAGTCTTGGACCTCAGTGTGATGTCCAGAGTTCCCAGGGGTGAATGCAAGGAAGAATCACACCTAAAAAGAACCTTTCTTTACCCCTAGCACAGTGACTGGTAGAGCCCATCTCAGAACAGCCCCAACAATTTGCTGCTGCAAATAATCAGAAAATAGTCAAGGATCTGGAACCTCCTCATCCTCCAAATAAATTCCTAACTGCCTTTTTTTCCCTTTCCAAGTAAAGTGGAAAAGAGAGATCCTCCCATCTCCCAAACTCTTCTTAGTGCTGTTCTTGAAATGCTTTGGAGATACTTCAATAGAAATCACTTAAGAAATATTAAATGGAATTTTGTCCTAAAGCCTTGCAGGTCATTTAAGGGCCAGACCCATGACTGCCTTCAAGTCTCATTCTCTGACTGCCAAATAACTTCTCATTTAAGTTGATGGGCAACTGGGTGCTTCAGGAGTACACCAGAAACCAGGACAGCTCTGCACTACACTTTGTTTCTCCTCCCTACATATTTAAATTATTCTGGGAGCTAAATCACAGATTCCCTGCACTCACCAAAGAGCATTAAGGAAATGAAGCAAAATCTGGCTGTCCTGCTAGGATGCTTTGCTACCATCAAGCTTCAGAGCTAACACAGCTTGATTTTCAGCTCCTGAAGCAGCCTCACAAGTCTGACAGCACTGCAAAAAATTTTTTTTAAAAAGTAGATCTGAGCACAGTTGCAAGGCAAGATGCCAAAAATCCAGCAAAAATATGCTACTAATTTCTTGCTTAGTATAAGCACACTCTGAAGTTTTGCATTGACTTCGCAGAGCTACTGCAATTAGTTATAAATGATTAAGTGAAAGACTCTGACTCCGTCCAAGTCACAGAGGCTACAGACACTGACTTGGGTTACTGCTCTGCTAATTGAAGTCCTGCTCTACCCAGAGTTAACTGCATGCAGCTAGTAAAACGTCTGATTCTTTTCCTTTTTCCAGAGGTGTTTTAAAAAACACATTATAAAAGTTCGCATCACGCCACAGAAACACGCCCAGAAAGACTGAGGTGATTTCTCGGCCGAGTCTTTTTTCCTTAAGTTGAAACATACACCTTGGGTAGCCTTTCACAGACACTTATTTAAGAGGAAAGTATGTTCTATATGAAATATGAACTTTCCACGTTCACCTTGGAAACCAGGCTCAGGTTCTCATCTTGCCTCCAGGAAAAAGAGCAAGGAATGGTAAAGAGATGGTTCCTTTAATCCTTGAGAGAGCAGAAAAAAGATTAAGGAAAGAGTAACTAACGGAATTCTATAGAAGACTTCAAGCACTTCATGATATTTAGATGCAATTATCTTCCTCCTAGGAAGAAATTCCTGGCTGTGAGGGTGGTGAGAGCCTGGCTCAGGTTGCCCAGGGAAGCTGTGGCTGCCCCATCCCTGGCAGTGTTGAAGGACAGGTTGGATGGGGCTTGGAGCAGCCTGGGCTGGTGGGAGGTGTCCCTGCCCATGCAGAGGGGCTGGAACTGGATGATCTTTAAGCTCCCTTCCAACCCAAACCAGTCTGGAATTCTATGATTCTATGTTTCAGAGCTCAAAAAACAAATGTCTTATTTACAGGATCCACACTGTAAACAAGCAAGTTAGATCAACCACAGTTCAGAGACCAGTTCTTACCCTGTCACATCCTTGGGTCTTCCAGAGGTGACTTCAAGGTCTCTGAACCCTCCCTTTCTCATATTCCACACCACCTCCTAGCACAGCCAGCAAAACACACTCCCTTGGGTGCTGAGGGACTGTGACCAACCCTACCTGCCAAAAGGCTTCCCATCCCTCATGCCATCTCAAATCCATGCAGGTACCTGCACAAGAGCTACCTCAACCCAAAGATGCTTCCACCAGAATGGAAAGTTACTCAAATTAATGTCCTGACAGTACTGAGAGCTCTGAATTCCTTTCAGACAGTTTTCTTGACATCACCTTGATGATTTACTGAGCCACAGGGCTGCACTAATAAAATAAAAATATAGAGTTGCGTTGCAGAAAAAAAAGAGTTTGCAGGACAGGAGGTGGCTGTGAATGTATCACATTGAGCATTCACTCCAGCAACGGAAAGGGAAGCAGGGATTTACTTTCCCATCAGGGCAAAGTACTAATGCAAAGCAATAAATCATTAATGCCAAAGAGAGACAGACTTGTCTCGTGGATAGATGAAGGGCAGATAGATCAGCATTTCTTTATGACAAGTAAAAAGCTTCTGCAGCCTCAGATGAGGAAACCTCACACTTTCACATCTCAAGATTAAACTTTATAATGAAATAAGGAAAAAAGAAAAAAAAAAACCCACAACCAAACAAGCCAGCATCAGCTTTGACTTTAAAGAAGTCAGGAATTTTCTAGGCAGTTACCCACATAGAAAAAGTGAACATTTCTTCAGCTGGGGTGGCAAGAGGGAGGAAGAGAAGAAACCAGCCTTGTTCCTCTAACTGGATGGTACCTTTATTTTTTTCCTATAGCTAAAAATGAGCTGACTCATAGTCAATAGAACAGGGTCTTCCATCGTCCCCTGGTATTATCTTTAGGCATGAGACAAAAAAATTCCTCTAACCTCTCAGTTTTTACCTTTTTCAAGAATACTTTGCTTGGTTGCAGGAATTCACCCACTGGTCTATTCCCTGGAGACAGACTCACATCAGAAAAAGAAAAGTTTTCTCAAAACCCCAACAAAGAAACCTTTTCCTAAAACACCTCAAAGAAAGCTCTTCTTCCAAATGTTCTTTTCAGTGTTTAAGGCAACCACCCCAAATTTCTTTGGAAAAGGATTTCCCACACTAGATTTCCCAGAGAGCTGCACTTTGTAAGGAGAGGTTTGCAGCTCACCCTCACCCCAAAGAAGAAGAAAAAGATCCCCAGAGAAGAAGAAAAAGATCCCCAGAGAAGAAGAAAAAGATCCCCAGAGAAGAAGAAAAAGATCCCCAGAGAAGAAGAAAAAGATCCCCAAGGAAGAAGAAAAAGATCCCCAGAGAAGAAGAAAAAGATCCCCAGAGAAGAAGAAAAAGATCCCCAGAGAAGAAGAAAAAGATCCCCAGAGAAGAAGAAAAAGATCCCCAGAGAAGAAGAAAAAGATCCCCAGAGAAGAAGAAAAAGATCCCCAGAGAAGAAGAAAAAGATCCCCAGAGAAGAAGAAAAAGATCCCCAGAGAAGAAGAAAAAGATCCCCAGAGAAGAAGAAAAAGATCCCCAGAGAAGAAGAAAAAGATCCCCAGAGAAGAAGAAAAAGATCCCCAGAGAAGAAGAAAAAGATCCCCAGAGAAGAAGAAAAAGATCCCCAGAGAAGAAGAAAAAGATCCCCAGAGAAGAAGAAAAAGATCCCCAGAGAAGAAGAAAAAGATCCCCAGAGAAGAAGAAAAAGATCCCCAGAGAAGAAGAAAAAGATCCCCAGAGAAGAAGAAAAAGATCCCCAGAGAAGAAGAAAAAGATCCCCAGAGAAGAAGAAAAAGATCCCCAGAGAAGAAGAAAAAGATCCCCAGAGAAGAAGAAAAAGATCCCCAGAGAAGAAGAAAAAGATCCCCAGAGAAGAAGAAAAAGATCCCCAGAGAAGAAGAAAAAGATCCCCAGAGAAGAAGAAAAAGATCCCCAGAGAAGAAGAAAAAGATCCCCAGAGAAGAAGAAAAAGATCCCCAGAGAAGAAGAAAAAGATCCCCAGAGAAGAAGAAAAAGATCCCCAGAGAAGAAGAAAAAGATCCCCAGAGAAGAAGAAAAAGATCCCCAGAGAAGAAGAAAAAGATCCCCAGAGAAGAAGAAAAAGATCCCCAGAGAAGAAGAAAAAGATCCCCAGAGAAGAAGAAAAAGATCCCCAGAGAAGAAGAAAAAGATCCCCAGAGAAGAAGAAAAAGATCCCCAGAGAAGAAGAAAAAGATCCCCAGAGAAGAAGAAAAAGATCCCCAGAGAAGAAGAAAAAGATCCCCAGAGAAGAAGAAAAAGATCCCCAGAGAAGAAGAAAAAGATCCCCAGAGAAGAAGAAAAAGATCCCCAGAGAAGAAGAAAAAGATCCCCAGAGAAGAAGAAAAAGATCCCCAGAGAAGAAGAAAAAGATCCCCAGAGAAGAAGAAAAAGATCCCCAGAGAAGAAGAAAAAGATCCCCAGAGAAGAAGAAAAAGATCCCCAGAGAAGAAGAAAAAGATCCCCAGAGAAGAAGAAAAAGATCCCCAGAGAAGAAGAAAAAGATCCCCAGAGAAGAAGAAAAAGATCCCCAGAGAAGAAGAAAAAGATCCCCAGAGAAGAAGAAAAAGATCCCCAGAGAAGAAGAAAAAGATCCCCAGAGAAGAAGAAAAAGATCCCCAGAGAAGAAGAAAAAGATCCCCAGAGAAGAAGAAAAAGATCCCCAGAGAAGAAGAAAAAGATCCCCAGAGAAGAAGAAAAAGATCCCCAGAGAAGAAGAAAAAGATCCCCAGAGAAGAAGAAAAAGATCCCCAGAGAAGAAGAAAAAGATCCCCAGAGAAGAAGAAAAAGATCCCCAGAGAAGAAGAAAAAGATCCCCAGAGAAGAAGAAAAAGATCCCCAGAGAAGAAGAAAAAGATCCCCAGAGAAGAAGAAAAAGATCCCCAGAGAAGAAGAAAAAGATCCCCAGAGAAGAAGAAAAAGATCCCCAGAGAAGAAGAAAAAGATCCCCAGAGAAGAAGAAAAAGATCCCCAGAGAAGAAGAAAAAGATCCCCAGAGAAGAAGAAAAAGATCCCCAGAGAAGAAGAAAAAGATCCCCAGAGAAGAAGAAAAAGATCCCCAGAGAAGAAGAAAAAGATCCCCAGAGAAGAAGAAAAAGATCCCCAGAGAAGAAGAAAAAGATCCCCAGAGAAGAAGAAAAAGATCCCCAGAGAAGAAGAAAAAAGAAGAAAAAGATCCCCAAAGAAGAAGAAAAAGATCCCCAAAGAAGAAGAAAAAGATCCCCAAAGAAGAAGAAAAAGATCCCCAAAGAAGAAGAAAAAGATCCCCAAAGAAGAAGAAAAAGATCCCCAAAGAAGAAGAAAAAGATCCCCAAAGAAGAAGAAAAAGATCCCCAAAGAAGAAGAAAAAGATCCCCAAAGAAGAAGAAAAAGATCCCCAAAGAAGAAGAAAAAGATCCCCAAAGAAGAAGAAAAAGATCCCCAAAGAAGAAGAAAAAGATCCCCAAAGAAGAAGAAAAAGATCCCCAAAGAAGAAGAAAAAGATCCCCAAAGAAGAAGAAAAAGATCCCAAAGAAGAAGAAAAAGATCCCAAAGAAGAAGAAAATAGAAGTTTCATTAGACCAGATGAAGTTTTTACAACTGTAATGCAATTTATCTGTTCTATAACCACAAGCTTAAAAAGCACTGGCATTAATAGGATGGCTGAAGGTAACAATGCACAAACCCATGTGACACAGCAGCAGCCCACCCAGCAGGTGACCCAACAACTCACCCCTGCTGCTGCATACCCCTCCCTAGGCTGTTTGAGGACCTAAATCACAACTGGACTGAAAATTAACTCAGAAGCTGAAAAGATGAAGATTGTCCATGCTCATGGCAGGGGGGTTAGAATGAGATGGTCTTTAAGGTCTCTTCCAACTCAAACCAGTCTGGGATTCTATGATTAAGTAATTAGGCTGTGCACATTACCCAGCCCAAACTTCTCCATGTCCTTCAGCCATTTAGTAGTGTCAGTCTGCCTTCAGCCTGGAGAAGAGAAGCTCCAGAGAGACCTTAGAGCACCTTCCAGTGCCTGAAGGGGCTCCAGGAAAGCTGGGGAGGGGCTTGGGACAAGGGCAGGCAGTGAGAGGACAATAAGGGATGGATTAAAAATTGAAAATGGGAGATTTTAATTGGACATTAGGAGGAAATTCTTCAGTGTGAGGGTGGTGAGACCCTGGCCCAGGTTGCTCAGGGAAGCTGTGGCTGCCCCATCCCTGGCAGTGTTGAAGGGCAGGTTGGATGGGGCTTGGAGCAGCCTGGGCTGGTGGGAGGTGTCCCTGCCCATGCAGGGGGGTTGGGACTGGATGATCTTTAAGCTCCCTTCCAACCAAACCATTCTGTGATTTTATGGTCTTGGCTGTGCAATGATTGGTTATGCAAAAATGCTACTCCTGGTACTCCGGTAAAAATCTCCAACAAATACAAAACAAGGGTAAAAAGACACAATCAAAAACTTCTGCAACAACGTGGAGAAATAAAAGTGACTGTGCAAGTGCCCTGTCCCCTCACCAGTCCTGAGGGCCATGGAAGGCTGATATGAAGCCACCTTCCAAGCAACCATTGGGAGTTGCCAGACACCAGGCAGGATTTCTGTCTCTCGGTCGCAGCTCTTGAGCTGCCCAGCCTGGAGTCAGCCATCACCTCCTGCCAGCCAAAAGCGGGAGTAAAACAACCTTTCACTTATTTCAAAAGAACCTTGAGGGATGCTGCAACCCAATGCGCGAAGAGGAAGTTGGCTGCTCTCCTAATTGGGAGAGGAATTTTCTACTCCAGCAAGCTAAATGGGAAACAGAATGAAAACCAAGAGCCCTGGAGCTTATGAGGTGCTACTGTGGGAAGTGATCAATAAATTCTCCTCGAGGGTAACAGCAAAGGCCCAATTTAAAGCACGTTTTGCTGACCAGGGCTCCTGCCTGGTTGGAGAGAGCAAATTGGGCTCCTTTGAGAGAGAGGTGCTGGAACTTTTCAGTGGAGCTAAGTGAACCTACACACCACACATCAACAGGTTGGGTCTAGAAAATGGCAGAGAACACCAGGAATGGTAGCTGTACTTCAGGAAGGCCAAGTAGGTCACCAACATAAGCACTGCTTTCTGCAGGGAAAGAAAAGACAAGGGTCTTCATTGGTAAGGAGGGACTACCCGAGCTGAGGAAGTGATGCAAGGTCTGTGAGCACAATATGGGAACTTTGTACTGAAATCTGAAAAAAATTGGGAAGAACCTAAGCAAAGAAGAGGTTCAGTGGGTGGGTGAAAGCCAGAAGAAAGAGAGCAATAGGGACTCATCCCCAACCCCTGTGCAACAGCAGGCTCCTTCAGGAGGAAGGGCCAAACACCATCCATTCATCCCAGGACTTTAGGAGTCCCAACACAAGATGGTCAGCTTAATGTCCAATTAGATACAGAATATCATGCTCCTGAGAAGACTGCCTTGTGAGTATTTGGGAAAAGTACTTATCTATGAGGCAATGGTCAACCTGTCCTGATCCTCTTTACAGGAATATTTTGGTACTGATGTTTACCTGACCAGGGGAAAACAGGGATCTAAGGGATATGAGGGCTCTACAGGGCAGCATCCTCTGTTCACCACAAGCTGTGAAAGACTTTGGTAAACAAGTTATGTGTGTCTGTATTAAGAACAGATCTTTAAGCAGGAGAAGAAACATGGGGGGGACATTATATCTGGTCCATGACTAAAACCATTCCCATGCCCCAAGCCAGCCCTTCACAGCATGACCAATGAAGCAACTGCCCACATTTTGCTTCTGCCACAAAGACACCCTGTTTTCCCACAATCGTGAAGCCACCATATCTGGGACCAATATGGTTACTCAATAGCAGCATAAAACTCTTTTCACCCTTCCTTCCCTCCAGAAAAGGTGGCAACTGCCATTCAAAATGACCAGTCCTACCAATTAAAGGATCCTTTATGTCCTTGTCTTAAGATCAACTCTCCAGCTCCACCACAAAGCCACAGAAAACAAGTGACTCTAGATGGACAGACATGGACAAGCTGTGTCTCACGTACTAACTTTGTAGGTCTTCTG